ACATCCAGGAATATCTACGGATTTGAAATACGTGGTAGATAAGTGTATTGAATGTGGATCCTGCAGGTTAATAATAAAGCTTGCAGAAATAGATTAACTGTGACATGCTCACATGGAAAATCCTATAGCAAAAATAGCAAGTAAGGTAACACAAAATGTTCAGATACATAAGGAAAGAAAGCACCATAACCACTACAGCTTACCTTGCGCCCACCCTGCCACACTTCTGATTGAATAATACAATTTTTGACTTCTCACCTATGGCCCAGCAGGTGGTGTGCCCTGCCTTTACTATTAACCCTGGATAACTAGCAGCTCTAAGCAGGAGATTTTAGTAGCCCTCCTGGACTAAGCCATGTACTGCACTAGCACTTTTAGTTTTCCTTTTGCCACACTTAGTGTATGTGAGAAATTTAAACATAAAATGCTTTTATTGTAACATTTTAGATCCTATGTGAAATATTGCAAGATAAAGGACAACGTATTTATTCTCTAAAACTCTAATTCACAAAACATGTCTCCAAAGGATGAATGAATAACTGAAAAATCCAAATGTACTCATTTTGAAGTTTGCCCGCAAAGCAGTCTATACATAATTTTTCTGTAGTGGTAGTTGTTATTATGCTTGAAGTGTTCTATAATTTAAATTTACATTGCTATCTAAATTTTTTTATATGATTTGCCTTTTCTCCAGTTTCTGGAGAATGCCCTCCCCTGCCCCCAAAAACCAGTTTTTTTAAATATAATATTAATTAAACATTAATCTTGTGCTTAATCCACAAAACAACCAAATTATGCTTGAAAAATTTTGGAATTTAAATTTTTATGATTTGCTTTAATTTTCTGGAGAATACCCCACCCTCCCCCCCAAAAAAGTTTATTTATACTTAAACATTAATCTTGTGCTCGATCAACAAAACAACCACATAAAATATACATCTGCAGCTACCCTTTAGTGGAAATTGGTCAGTTTTCCACAATCAACTAACATAAAGCAAAAAATAAAACTTAACAAATGATGTTCAAGAGCAGCAGATATAATAATAAATACATAACAATTTAATTAAACAATACAATTAAATAATATTGTTTGAGAGAGAAAAAAAATGCCAAGTAACAAAATATAAAATACAATATGAATAAAATGGATCAAATGAACAATGCATAAAAAAACTAACAAACCTATGTATTGATAAAAAGAAAACTAAACAACGAATAAATAGCAAAAAAAAATGTACATACAATTAAGATGAATAAATAAAACATAAGTAATACAATAAGAATAAGAAATGCATACATCCTAACCATTGCATAAAAAAAACATTAAAAATAGTTAACATTGTAAACTGGGCAATAGTAACCTCTGGACAGGATAGAGTCCAAGAATAAGAGGTATCATCTAATAAGATGAGGTATCTATCCACAATAACAATAGAGAGAAGCAGATTCTCCCAGCCCTAAAGGAAACATTTCCATTGATATGTACAATTTGGCCAGGAGTCACTGTTAAGCTGTCATTCAGTTGATGGGGATATAAAGTGCTGGAACAGTCATTAGGCTCTTGGTTGGTAAGGTTGGTATTGTGGAAAAGGGGCCTGCCCCAGGAACACAGCAACAGTGGAAGACTACAGGAGTTAAAAGCCAATGTGTATTGTCCAATGGACATTAGATAATATATGATAACCCTGATTCCTCTCCTACATCTGTGTCATCAAATAAACTAACCCTTCACTGTAAACTATTCCAGTAACCTACTTTTTTCACATACATGAAATACATCCTACCAATACCTCTTGTGCTACTTTACCCCACTGCCTCTACCCCACTCCCTGAGCAGGGCCCTCTACACCCTTGGTTCCTGTGGGTTTATCTTGTCTTGTTGCAATTACATGTCTGTTAGCCCACCTGTTGTACAGATCTTTGTAATTTATTGGCACTTTATGAATAATAATAGTAACAGTGGATGTGGATAATTCATATACACATCTGCTATTAATTGTAATACGGGCAGGGAAATCCATATATCACTTATGAATGGTAAACTCCATGAACATTCAGGAATATCTACTGAATTGAAATAGATCAAAGATAAGTGTATTAAATGTGGACCCTGCGAGGTAATAATAAAGGTTGCAGAAACAGATTCTACAGGGCAAATGAAGCTGCTGGTGAAATAGCTGCTCTTCTCCATGGCAACAAACAAATACGTTTTGAAAGGCATAGCCAAAATGACCAGCAACAACTGGTATTACAAACAGATACAACCAAAGGCAACAGAATGCTTAGATAATAATGCCATTATGCTAATTGTGCAAAAAACTGTGCATTTGTAAAAAATAAAAATAAAAAAAAACGTAAAAATACAAAGAGAAAAAAGTGTTAATATTGCTGTATATTGTGCACAAAAGAATGCTGAATCTATTGTTAACAAAAATATCAATAAAATGCATCTGAATCAATGATATTGATATTCCGGTGAAAACAATGTATACTAACAGAAAAATAAACTCCTCTCTCCTGTACATACAGTTGTGCTCAAACATTTGCATACCCTAGCAGAGATTGTGAAATGATGGCACTGATTTTGAAAATATGACTGATCATGCAAAAAATGTATTTTATTGAAGCATAGTGATCATATGAAGCCATTTAGTTTACTATTATATAGTAGTTTGGCTCCTTTTTAAATCATTATGATGTCAGAAATCACACAAATGACCCTGATCAAAAGTTTACATACCCTGAATGTTTGGCCTTGTTTCAGACACACAGGGTGACACACACAGGTTAAAATGGCAGTTAAAGATTCATTTCCCATACATGTGGCTTTTTAAATTGCAATTAGCGTCTGTGTATAAATAGTCAAAGAGTTTGTTAGCTCTCTTGTGGATGCACTGAGAAGGCTAGATACTGAGCCATGGGGAGCAGAAAAGAACTGTTAAAAGACCTTTGTAATATGGCAATGGAACTATATAAAGATGGAAAAGGATATAAAATGCTTTCCAATGCCTTGAAAATGCCAGTCAGTACTGTTTAATCACTTATTAAAAAGTGGAAAATTCGTGAATCTCTTGATACAAAGCTAAGTCAAGTAAACCAAGAAGACTTTGAGCCACAACTGCTAGAAGAATTGTTCGGGATACATAGAATAGCCCACAGGTGACCTCAGGAGAAATATAGCCTTCTCTGAAAAAAAGAGTTTGGGTGTTTCAAGGAGCTCAACAAGACGATACTTGAACAAAAATGAGCTGCATGGTTGAGTTGCCAGAAAGAAGCCTTTACTGGGCTAATGCAACAAAATAAAAAGCATGGATACAATATGCCCGGCAACACCTTGATATGCCTCACAGCTTCTGGCACCCTGTAATTTGGAGTGACAAGACCAAAATAGAGCTTTATGGTCACAACTATAAGTACTATGCTTTTAGAGGGGTCAACAAGGCCTTTAGTGAAAAGAATACCATCCCCACTGTGAAGCATGGTTGATTTTTTTGGGGGTATGACAAAAACAGGCAGGGGGAATCTTGTGAAAATTGATGGCAAGATGCTATGCAGCATGCTATCATACAATACTGGCAGACAATTTGCATTCTTCTGCGCATGGGACACTTTTGGACTTTACAGCATGACAATGACCCTAAGTACATGGCCAAGTTGACCCTCCAGTGGTTACAGCAGAAAATGGTGAAGGTTCTGGAGTAGCCATCACAGTCTCCTGACAGTCTCATCAAGCCACTGTGGTGAGATCTCAAATGTTCGGTTCATGCAAGATGACCAAAGACTTTGCGTGACATGGAGGCATTTTTCCAAGACGAATTGGCAGCCATACCACCTGCAAGAATTAGGGGCCTCATAGACTATTACAAAAGAGTGCATGCTGTTATTGATACTAAAGGGGGCAATACACAGTATTAAGAACTAAAAGTATGCAGACTTTTCAACAAAGGTCATTTCATTTTTTTCTTTGTTGCCAGATTTTGTTTTAGGATTGTGCCATTCTGTTATAACCTACAGTTGAGTATGAACCCTATAATAAGTAAAAGAAATGTGTTTTGCCTGCTCACTCATGTTTTCGTGGTACATATATTACCACTTCTCCAAGGGTATACAAACTTTGGAGCACAACTGTAGTATATGCATCATGCCAATAGAAAACAGGTACGTGGGACAGATCCATCTGTCTAAGTACTATCTGCTAGTTCATCTATTTTGTTATACAGTCGTGAAATTACCTGCCCGTTCGTCCCTGTTCGTTTATTTCAGTTTATATCGAATAAAACTACCGAAGAGAAGTGTGCTGCTGGTTAACCTATTGGCCTCAATTAAAACGTTGTGGTTAACCGCAGACAACTCTTAATTGGAACCGTATGCTGGGTGGTCATCATTCGTATGTTGACCACGAGGTGGCTGCCCTTTTAAACACACGAATGAACAGCAGTGTTCGACGATGAACTTATGGAACTCAAACCGGACACTTTTTCTACCGAACACCACTGAAACCGCCACCACCCTTCTTATCATCAGGCATACGAACGCCGGTCCGTTCGGGACTTTTTATTGTACGAATGGACTTAACCCAGATAGCCATCCCATGGAGTCATTCGTATAGCGAAAGAACAGTGTGAAAGACTTTGAAAACATGGCGATTGAACTGTGTGCATTGGGTCTGAGCGCTATTCAGTAGTAATGTGCGCTCAGATCTAGGCTATCTGGGGATACGTTATACAAATTAAATGCATTTGGTAGTTTTACATTTATGGATTTTTATGTGTTTTTATTATACCATGTAAAATGGCAGTTTGCCTCTATCCCTTGAGATAATTGGATTTCTTCCCAATTATCTCCAGGATAGAGAGGAGGGGTTTACCTGTACAAAGGGGAGTGTTTATACCTGAGCCACTGTGATTGTCTACTGTACCTCATTTGTCCCAGTCTTCCATCTGGTCTCCTAAGGGAGTGTCCACCAGGTGGGAGACCTGCATAAATACCAGGCAGGTAGCCCTCAATAAACCAGAATCCTGTTTTACCCTGAAGACGGAGCTTGGTCTCATGTTTGGGGGGATTGCTACTTTGGAGTATTCTTTTGCCTGTTCCAGGAGAGAAGGATTTCGGCTGATTCTCAGTTCGGGGAATTGGAGTGTTTGTGAGCTGCTAGTCCCGTATCGAGGAGAGAGGTCTTTCGTATAATTATCCAGTTCGGTGAATTGAAGCGTTTGTGAGTTGCTATTCCCGTAATAAGGTGAACTCCCTATTCGCTATTAACCCACGATCCCCGGGTTATACCGTAACAGTACCATTAGTGGTAAAGAAAATCTTAGGTGCACAGGTACTTTTTCTCCACTCAGCAAGCTGCAATATTTTGTTTTACGTGGAAAGGTTTCTTTGCCAGACTTAAATTGAACCCAAGTTATCTTTCCACAGAAAGAGGAGATTTGGTTTTGTAGAGTGGCATAACTCAGAGAACGAGAAGACCTAGTGTTTCTTGGATATTTTGGGGCCTTTCTCCAGTCTCCTTTTTCTAGCTTGTTTGAGAAACAGGGCCACCCATCATCAGTTAGGGGCCTAACTCTGTGTTTGGCCCAGCATCTGTGTTTGTGGCCTTTCTTCTAAACTTTGCTGTATTTGGCTGTTCACTAAACCATCCGAGCAGCAGCCCACTACTACCAGGCAGAGTCTCCAGCCCAGAATGCAACTCCTACTCCAGACCTAGAGTACTGGGATGTCCTACATGAAGCAGACCCACTACAGGTGGACACCAATAATTGCCAACATCACCTGCAGACTGTTATCTTGGCAGGGAAGGAGGTCCAAGGGCTCCAGGATACCGGGGCCACTTTGACATTGGTAAAGAGCCACTTGGTGCCAAGCATGGCCAAGAGCCAGAACACCGTGGCCATAAGGGTAGCTGCGGGAAAAGTGTACAGACTGCCTACTGCCCGAGTACAGCTGAATTGGGGAGCGGGGGCTGGAATGGTGGAGGTGGGGTAAATGACGGAGCAACCGGTGGAAGTGTTGTTGTTAATGACCTGGGGAGGCTAATGTCCGCTTTTGAGCCCCAGGCCACACTGGAGGAATTATACCCGGTAGTCACCAGGCAACAGGCCTGCACCAGAGACCACAGTTCGAGAAAGAAATGACCACAGACCCCACATTGCAGGTATACAGGGACAGAGTCACCTCTGGCCAGGCAGAGTTAGAGGGGGAAAGATATGTGTGGGATAAGAAGCTGTTGTACAGAGAGTCTGAGAGGATAGTGGACGGGTCCAAACCGATCCCCACTAGACAGTTAGTGGTACCCCAGAGGTACCGACAGGAGCAGCTGCGGATAGCGCATGACATCCCGCTATTCAGGCATTTAGGAGTGAGCTGAACTACACCATGTTCCAAGAAAAAGGATCTCTCTGCTGCCGAAAAGAGTGAAATAGTTCAATGCCTTAGACGAGGTATGAAAACATTAGATATTTCACAAAATCTTAAGCATGATCATCGCACTATTAAGAGATTTGTGGCTGATTCAGAGTACAGACGGGTTCGTGCAGATAAAGGCACACTGAGGAAGATTTCTGCCAGATCCATGCATCGGATCAAGAGAGCAGCTGCTAAAATACCATTACATAGCAGCAAACAGATATTTGAAGCTGCTGGTGCCTCTGGAGTCCCACGGACATCAAGGTGTAGAGTCCTCCAGAGTCTTGCAACTGTGCATAAACCTTCTATTTGGCCACCACTAACCAATGCTCACAAGGAGAAACGGCTGCATTGGGCAGAAAAATACATGAAGACTAATTTTCAAACAGTCCTGTTCACTGATGAGTGCCATGCAACCCTGGATGGTCCAGATGGATGGAGTCGTGGATGGTTGGTGGACGGCCACCCTGTTCTAACAAGGCTGCGACGTCAGCAAGGCGGTGGTGGAGTCATGTTTTGGGCAGGAATCATGGGAAGAGAGCTGGTCGGCCCCTTTAGGGTCCCTGAAGGTGTAGAGATGACCTCTGCAAGGTATTTAGAGTTTCTGACTGACCACTTTCTTCCCTGGTACAGAAGGAAGAACTATGCTTTCCATAATTAAATCATCTTCATGCATGACAATGCATCATCTCATGCTGCAAAGAATACCTCTACATCAATGGTTGCTATGGGGATAAAAGGAGAGAAAGTCATGGCCTCCATCCTCCCCTGACCTCAATCCTATTGAAAACCTTTGGAGCATCCTCAAGCAAAAGATCTATGAAGGTGGGAGGCAGTTTACATCCAAACAGCAGCTCTGGGAGGATATTCTGACATCTTACAAACAAATTCAAGCAGAAACTGTCCAAAAACTCACAAGTTCAATTGATGCAAGACTTGTGAAACTGCTATCAAATAAGGGGTCCTATGTTAAAATGTAACGTGACCTGTTAAAATGTTTAAAAAGTTAAACTGTTGTTATAAGTTTGAATGAAATAGCTTTTGATTTCAGTAAATATGATGCAAACACAACAAATGACAATTTTATAACAAGACACGGGGGCTCATATTGCATATCCCTTTCTTTACTGTCCACCAATAGCAGCAAAGAATACAAACAGAATGAAAAAATTATGAACATACAGTAACATAGGCCCTTCCCCGCTCTTGTCCCAGTATAATAGGCAGCACTTCCCTTCCATTTCCCTCTTTCTTTGCTGCTCCGATACAAAGATAAGTACATGTCACATCTCTCTGATTACTTGTTTATTACCTGCTATTGATATTATTATTGATATCCTTACATTACACCCCTCTGGGGAGACTGATGCCCCATTTAATTTGGGTGAGACCCCTGTCACCTTGGGCACTTCACCCACCCTGGTAGACAGAACCACCCACCCTGAAGGGGCACAATTCTTAGCGCTACAGCGCTCAGTGACAGACGCCATTATAGCAGCCTTGGGGTCCATGTCATCTACCCTCTCTCATACTATTTCTCAAGCCCTATTGCCACATCCTTCGGACGAGCATTGCTCGGGCTCCACGGCGCCACTATCGCGTCCTGCTCTGGACACGCCGGGAGAGGCACCCAGAAAGGCTACCCATAAGTCCAAACATCCCTCTGCCTCCAGAAACTCTATGACTGGCATACCTATGGTCGCCCCAAAAAGCGTGTCCCATCCACGCAAAAGTGCCTTTCCGCGCCAGGCAGAATAGGCGCGGCTATGGAAATGTGCCAGAGCACAGTTAGAGTGCGACTCAGACTCAGATATCGGGTCAGGTGAGGAGAGTAAGATTGCGTCGGACAGTGACTCTGATATGGATGCCGCAGATGTGGGCTTTGACCTCCTTCCCTCTGCTCAGGCAGAGACGTCCGGAGGTGATACAGGGACTAGGCACCCCGCGACTGCGGGGTCCGCCCTCATGGATCCGTTAGGTGTCCCACTCTTTGACCTGGATGACATACACCATTCGAGGTCAGCAGAGTGGCTCCCGGCCGACCACGTTGCCACGTACCTTGAGAATTGGGTACAGCGCCCTCTTAGTAAAGCGGCACGTAACAAATTGAGGGCTGAGTGTCCCAGGCCCGTGGTGCCCAATAAAGTATGTGACACTCCTGAGGTAGACCCCAAAATGACTCAGTTCCTCGCTAAACTGGGCTGGAACCCCTGTAAGGGGCTAGAATCTGCATTGAAATCTTGCCAGGGTAAACACCTGGATATTTTCGGCACTCTGGCCAAATTGTTTGACTTGGCGGAAGACGCCAGAGCGGGGAACCGCATTGTTGACCCTGAAGACCTACGTGGTTGGGTCCAGAGAGCAATTTGTATTGCCGGGAGCGTTATCACCTCCCTCTCTATAGAACGGCGTAAAGCCATCTTGTTTAAAATTGAACCAAAGCTGGCCAATCTTGCCCTCACAGAAGCTGGTAAGGCCGCCCAAGGCTTACTCTTTGGCGATTCCTTTATTAAAGACTTAGGGCATTTTGTTGGGGCATTTACAGCCCTTGACAATGCCCAGGCATCCATGAGATGGGTATTCTAGGGGCGGGTCTCCACCAGGGCCAGCAGATTCAGGAGCAGTCTGTCCGGCCGTAACTACTTCCAATCCCATGGCACGGGACGAGGCTCTTTCAGCAACGTGCTAACTACCAGGAGACTAATACCCATCCCACTTTCTTCCCGTCACGCAGACGCCAGTGGCAATCCAGAGGTTTCTGGGCCAACTCCAGTTCCAAATGACCTTACGGTGAGTTCCCTCATACCTCGTATTTCTTCTCATGTTTGTGTAGGGGGCAGACGCCAACATTTTTCCCAGCTTGGTCACTAATTACCTCAGACCCTTGGGTGCTGACCACTGTTCGGGGTTTCCAGATAGAACTAGTGGGGCACCTTGTACACATTCCCCCTCCTCAGATTGATCGACGAAGAACTCTCCAGAGTTGTCAAAGGGGCTATAGAACGGGCACTTCTCAACCCCGCAGGTGTCAGAAGCAACATTTTCCTGGTGGAAAAGAAGGGCGGTCTAATGAGGCCCGTCATAAATTTGCACCCCCTCAATGCCATGGTTCGGTACCGCATTTCAAGATGGAAGGTATTCACCTGCTACGAGATCTTCTCCTACACAGAGACTGGCTAGCAAAACTAGATCTCAAAGACGCATTCCTGACTGTACCGATTGCGGTGACATCCCGAGACCTCCTGCGCTTCCACTGGCGGCATGAGATTTGGCAATTTACCTTTCTGCCCTTTGGCCTCTCCTGAGAACCGTGGTGCTTCACTAAATTGCTGCGATAGCCTGGTTGCGCAGTCGGGGGGTTCGTCTAATCATATACCTAGACGACATCCTTCTCATGGCTCAAGAGCGCTCCACTCTCCTTACACACCTATGGTTGGCCCCACCACCTGCTCCCTAGATCCAATTCCCTCGCATCTCATCCGTACTCTGTCTTCTTCTCTTTCTCCACCTCTCACTAAAATTCTCAATCTCTCTCTCTCCTCTGGTATATTTCCATTGCCCTTCAAACATGCAACTGTAACCCCAATTCTAAAGAAGCCCAATCTTGACCCTAACTCCCCATCCAACTATCGTCCTATCTTGCTACTGCCTTTTGCATCCAAGATCCTTGAAAAAATTGTGTATGCAAGATTGACAGACTTCCTCGAGTCCAACTCTCTGCTAGACCCGCTTCAGTCTCGTTTCTGCGCTAAGCACTCTATGGAAACGGTACTGACCAAAGTATCCAATGAACTACTCGCTGC